AACCTGTGGTTAAGACATTAAATAACCTAACTTTCCATTTAAAAAAGCTAAAATATGAAAAATCAACCAAATTCCAATTAAGAAGGAGGAAGAAAATAGTAAAAATTAGAGTGAAAATAAACAAAACCAATAGAGAAAAAGTGAGACAATTAAAAATTAGTTTTTTGAAAGTCAGGTGTAGTGGGTAACACCTGTAATCTCAGCACTCAGGAGGCTGAAGCAGGGAGATTGCCTTGAGTTTGTGGCCCGTCTGGGCTAGTGAATTCAAAGTTGTCTTGATCTACATGTGAGTAGATCATAGTCTCAAAAGAGAAACAAAAAAGAATAGTAATTTTAAAAAGTATTTCTTGGAAAAGATCAATACAATTCACAGGGGCCAGGGAAATGGCTCAGTAGAATAAGCGCTTCCCTGGCAAGCGCAAGGGCCTGAGTTCAATCCCCCTGTTCCACTGAAAAATAAATAAAATTTATAAACCTCTAGTCAGATTGGCCAAAATAAGAAATGAAATAAGGGAGCTCATTACTGACCATCTAAAAATAAAAAAGGAAGTCAAATGAGCACTGATACAATTATACGGGGGTATCGCAATACTTCACTGTCACAAAAAGACAGATCAACTAGACAAAATAAATATCAACAATGAAACATTAGAACTGAGGCTGGCAAGATAGCTCAGCAGACTAAGCTCCTGTTTGGGCAGGGACCGGCTGGTCCCGCGTGCCGCACCAGCCCCACCCCTGGGGCACACTGAGCCGGTGACTGAGTCCATGCGTGGTGGCACACGCCTGTAATGACAGCGCTAGACAAGCTGAAAACAGGAGGATCACTACAAGTCCAAGCTGCGTAGTGAGACCCTGTACCAACTTCAAATTAAAAAAGAGAGACAGATATTAGAACTGAAACAAACTTTTATTTTTTTGACAGAACCAGGGATTGAACTCAGGCCCTTGAGCTTGCCAGGCAAGTGCTTCTTCTGCTGAGCCATCTCCCTGGCTGAAATAAACTTTTAAACGAATGGACTTAGTAGATATCTACAGAGTCTCCCAACCCACAACATGAGAATATAAATTCTTCTCAGTGGCACACGGGACACTCTCCAGTGTCCACATTCATCACATTCTAGCTTATAGGACATGCTTAAGTAAAATGCGAAGGGATTGAAATTATCCCAGCCTATTATCACACCACAGGGCAATGAAATCGGAGTCAATGGCAAAAGAAACCACAAGCGTGAAAATTAAATAGCATCCTCCTGAACAACCAATGAGTCACACATGAAATTAAGGAAGCAATTAGACAGTTTCTACAATTAAATGATAAGGATAGTGACACATACTGGAACTTACGGGATACAGTGAAAAGCAGTTCTGAGGGAACTTTATAGCAGCGAATATCCATATCAGGAAAACAGAGCAAGCGCAAATAGACAATTTAATGGTAAGCCCCAAGCTTCTAGAAAAAGAAGAGCAGGCTAAACCAAAAGCTTGTGTGAGGGAGGAAATTATAAAGGGCAGAGCAGAAAATAACGCACTGGTGACTAAGACAACTATACGAAGAATCGATGAATTGGAAAGTTGGTTCCTTGAAAAATTAAATAAAATCAACAAATTTTATCAAAAAAAAGGAAAGAAAAAGACTCAGATCCATGCAATTAGGAATGGAATGGATGGAATCATAATGGACCTGCAGACCTTCATAAAGAAGGGTAAGCTGGAGCCTTATCAGTAAGTGAAGGCAACTCAGGACCTTACTCACAAGTGGAATGAACCAGACACACACATGCGCACGTCATATTGTCTCCCTACTGTGAGAAGCTGAAAGCGGAAATAAGATCCAAAATGTACAACAGATATTGTAAAGCGAGAAAAAACTTCAAAAGGAAAGAAAAACTGGGATGGGAAAAGAAAAAAAATAGGGCCAGGGAGATGGATCAGAGGAATAAATGCTTCCCTGGCAGGCGCAAGGGCCTGAGTTCAATCCCTGGTTCTGCCAAAAAATAAAAATAAAAAGTACTCAGAAAAGGAAAAAAAAGGGGATGGCTCAGTGGTCTAAAGCACCTACTTAGAACAAGCTTAGCAAAGCACAGGGACCG